CGCCCGCCCACCCTTCCCACCCGCTCCCCGCTCGCCCGCCCACCCTTCCCACCCGCTCCCCGCTCGCCCGCCCACCCTTCCCACCCGCTCCCCGCTCGCCCGCCCACCCCCCACAGACCTCGCCCCGAAACACCCCCATCGTCTTCTGCCACGGCCTCCTCGGTTTCGACTCCGTCACCATCGGCCCCTCCATCGCGCCTCTCGAAGTCACGCACTGGCGGGGCATCAAGGAAGCCCTAGAGGCGATCGGCGCAGAGGTGCTGATCACGCGTGTACCGGCGACGAGCAGCCCGTTTGATCGTGCGGAGGTGTTGGAGAGGAGGATTGAAGAGGTGTATCCGGGGAGGGGGGTTCATCTTATTGGTTCGTTTTTCCTCTTTTTCGTATGGATGTGGTTTTTGCATGGGAGTGAGTTTTGAGAAGTATTAACTGATGTGTAGGCCACAGCATGGTACGTCCTCAGCTACCCCTTCTCAATCCTTAATCCAGGGACCACGCGTCTGACTCCAACTGGACACCCCAGGGCGGTCTCGACTGCCGCTACATGACCTCAAACCTCCACGCACACACCTTCACCGTCCTCTCCCTCACCACCATCGCCACCCCGCACCGGGGCTCCTCCTTCGCCGACCACTTCCTCCAGACCGTGGGCAAGACCCGATTTCCATCCGTCCTCGCTTTATTGGATATGTTGCCGAATGGCGGGGGAGATGGGAAGGCGTTTGAGTGTTTGACGGTGGAGGCGATGAGGAGGTTTAATGAGGATACACCGGATAGGGAGGGGGTGAGGTATTTTAGTTGGGGGGCGAGGTATGAGCCGGGGTTTGTTGATACTTGGAAGTTAGTGTGTTCCCCCCCCTTGTTGAGAGTTGAGAGGGTAAGATGCTGATGAGTGTTTCGTAGGTGGCCTCATTCGGTGGTGTTGGAGAAAGAAGGCCCGAACGACGGGCTCGTCTCGATTCAATCATCGAAATGGGTGCGTTTCTCTCCTCTCCTCCATCCCTTCCCTTCCCTCCATCCCCTTCCCTTTCCACTTCCCGCCCTCCTTAACCTCCCGTATCAAACGTAAAAACAGGGAACCTACCTCGGCACCCTCGAAGACGTGAACCACCTCGACCTCGTCGGCTGGATCAACACCGCGCGCTATAAATGGGCGGAGATTCGGGGACGGGAGATTAAGTTCAAGCCGGCGACGTTTTATTTAGGCTGTGCGGATTTGTTGGCGAGGAAAGTGGAGAGGTTGGGGGAGGATGATGACGAGGCGGACGGGAGTAGGAGTAGGGATGGGAGTGAGGATGGCGATGGCGATGGGGAGGCGAAAGAGTTGGGCATGAAGGTCGCGGATGAGGGCTCGGAGGCGGGCGAGGCTGGGAAAAATAAGGAGAGAGCGAAGACGAAGGCGAATGGTGGGAAGCTTAAAGTGAATGGAAGCCATCATCATCTTCGTCGGGACGAACACGATGCGTCTTCGAGTAGCGTGCAAGAGTTAGGACGCAAGGTCGCAGGGGAGAGCTCGAAGGCCGCTGAGGCGGAGGCGGATGAGACGAGTTCGAAATCAAGAGCAAGGCCGAGAGCGGCGACAGAGACGGAGGAGGATATTACGGGGCGGGGTATGATTTTCGATGCAGGGGAGCTTGATTCGCCGGATTCACTTGTTGATAGTCGACGGAGTGTTCATGGCCAGGAGGAGTCATCGTAGACCGCGATCGCGATGGGAGGTTTGGATGCGTCTTGTGGTCGGTTTATATATTAGACTATGGCAGGACGCCGATACTTATGGTGCATAGCTGTATGATACTATTCGTATAATCGCACATCACACATGATATGGCTCGTATACACTTCAAGTTCTTGCGATACTCATACACTTTTACTTGTTCGTTATTTTTAAGTACATGCATACCCGTATATTCAGCATTATATTCAAACGGTTCGAGCTTTTTAGTGAACATGCTTCGTTGCATAGCATTGGGAGTAGTACGCTTCGTTCACCCGCCGCTTCGCTTGTGGCACTGAGACGAAAGTGCCAAAGATGTGTGGGCCATCTCTTTGTGTAATTTCCCCAATCCTACGAAGTTCGCCCACACTTGGTATGGTGGCGTTAGCCACTTCATGTCACGCCGCATTCAATTTTTTCTTGACTCAAAAATAGGATTTCTGGGTTCAGAAACCCCCATTCCAGAGTACTGCCGTTTGCATAGCTATCCGAATTTGCGCGTCGAGTTTTTGTGGCGCTTACATCGGCGCCTGTCTGTGAGAATGATTGATGTGACCAAACATCACGCCTTCCGCCACACTACCCTGTCGCCACGTTGCGGCCTCTGCTTTGAGACTCGGACATCTTACACAACTATCATAGTTGACTGAAAGACCAGCCACGTACTGTGGTGTTTTTACGTGGGCCTCACTAAGAAGCAGATAATAGCCCGTCGAAAATGCTCCGTAGGTACCGTATACCGTGACGGTCATTTACCCAACCCATCAGGGTGCGGCTCCCATCTCGGAGAACATGCATCCCAAAAAACCTCTTGAATCGTCTCTATTCCTAGTGCATCCTCGACTACGCCAACACTGCATAACATGTCAACACTCGAACGGTTCTTATCCAGAAATATTTAACTACTTATATATAGAAGGATGAACGTGAAGGACATGTCAGAGAAAAGCAGGCGACAGACTCGGACAGCGGGCTTGAAGGTGAAGCAGGGTGAAGCAGTGGTGAAGCAGGGTGAAGCTCGAGCGTGACGAGGTAGGATGAGGTCACATCACTGAT